TCAATTAACAGAGAAGAGATGTTCCTAAGAGTTTTTTTGCATTACCTCCTTGTCGTTTTGGTACTTCATGATGCTCATAGGGTTTTGAGAACACTGCAAACATAATATCCGTGTTATTGCTTGATAGAAATTTCTCCATCCGTCCCAAAATAAGTGTCTGCTTTTTCCAATTCTACCCTTGATTATGAGATGGAGAAATCGATTACTCCCTCTGTTATCAAGGGTAGTTATTAGAAAGTGTTATAATTACACATTTCTAAAATAGTGTGCCTTTTCGACATTTATTTTGGTACGGAGGGAGTAACAAGTACATTAAGATGGAGAACATACATCCATGATGGCTGCTTGAACTCTTGGATTTTGAAATGCCATGGCAACTTCAGGATTGGCCATAATTTTAGATATAACTTCTTCTGGGGTAAGTCCTATTTGATCTTTCAACAACAATGAGCAAAACAAAGGTATTAGTAACCAATATCGATATCCATACACATAATGAGAACCATATATATTTTGAAAACCTTAGAACCAACTATTTCATGCATTATTCACGACGAATAACCCTGAATATTATCACCCTCAGGCGTGTAGCTCAGTTGGCAAAGGGGCAGAGCAACTTGCTCAAATACACAATAGGTTCAAGTTCGAAGACTTGAACTCCTCTGCTAGCCTCAATCGCTAAGTCCGCTCTAAAATGCCTCCTCACATATGGTTCCTAAGGAATGGTTTCGGGTTGGGCCGGTAATTAACCTTTTGCTCCAATAATGAGTATGATCCATAATGAATATCATACATTTCAATTATTCATGATATCATGTATTTTCGTTATGAATATTTGTCATGAATAAAGAATGAATAGTTGGTTCCCAAGTTCTCAAAATGTTTACGGTTCTCATTTAAACCTGCCTCTACCATTGTATATGTAAAAACCAAACCAAACCGGTTTTATTTTTTTGTGAGCTCAAATTGTAAGAACTTACCAAATTGCTCCTTCACCTCGGGACTGCTAATATCGAAATTTTTCAAAGAGTCCATCATACGGTTGTCCCATTCAGGGCTTCCCCCCATGCTATTCCTGAAAAAAGAATAATTGGTCATACAAGAAACCGACTCTAAAAATCTTTGTTCAAACTTAGATATTTGATCTTAGACGAGGGAGAATACAACTCGCAACTTATATCGAACGATATGCACATGGATTTACCAGAAAATGGCTTCAATGCACTTAGTGTGACAGGCCAAAATCAAAAAAACACATAACACAAGGGTATATTTATAATAATTGAAGTCCAGAGACGAGAACCAAGAAAACCACCATACCACAGGAACCAAATCCATAATTTACTCTAGAAAATGATACAATTTCACCTTTCTTGTTTACTCCTTGAACTTCTATTCTTCGTTCAGAAAGAAAAATATGAAATATCATAATCAGTCATCTTGTAAACCTCAAACAATACCCCCACGTTCGCTCGCGTGCTCCATTTTTATCCTCAAACTAGAACCCCCCCCCCCCAAACAATATGTGAGGCTTACAATAACAATAACAGGAGGCAGAGAGTGAATTCAAGAAGCAAAAAATCAATAAGATATAATTAGAAGGAAAAAAAGAATCTTGAATTAATGTTGGAATGGAAAATTTTGAAGTCAAATGAAAAGCTTACAGCATATCCTGCAGTTGTTGACGATATTGCGGGTTCTGAAGCATCCCTGTTTTATCAATGCAGCATGTTAGCAAGGTGAGTCTTTCAAATCTCACTCTTAGGGGCCGTATACCAGATGCTTACTGGGTAAGTGCTTATTGGAAAGAGTCACCACGCTCACTTACCTTGTCGAATAACATTCTCGGCCATCAAAAAGGATTGTTGGTAAGCATCTCTTACACAATAATAAGCGTCTCTTACCCGGTAAGTGCTAACAGGGCAAAAGTCTTCTTCCTCACTTACCCACTGGGTAAGTGCTATGCCTCTTACCGGGTAAGATTTTTGAACCTTGTGATGCTCACCCAGTAAAGTAAGTGACACCCGGTAAGCGATTGCCCAGTAAGAGTTGTGTAAACGGCCCATTACTCACAAAAAAGATAACATATTTGTATGAAATTCTAGAACTTGAATTGAAATATACTGACATTTGAAGGAGGTAGGGTTCCTCATCTCCTCTGGAAGATAGCTGGAAATAAAGAAATTGGAACTCATAAGAACTTGGTTTTCCAATCTCAAATTTCAAGTTGAAAGACTAGCAGAAAGCAATCTAAAAAAGTTAATAGGTACAACCATAGCACCCGCTCCTCAACCGGGTTATTTAACTAACAGGTTGTTAAGTTGGTTTTCCATCGTGTCCTGTATGGATATAGCTGATTGCATAGATTAATCTGTCGGTATAGATTGGGAGGTCTTTTTCATAGATGAAAGGAGCGTGTTTTTAGTTGGGAGGGGCATGTTTGAAAAAATTTGGGTCTCTGCATAAAGCTCCCCCGTAGAAGCTTACTGAATAAGCCACTCTCAATATTATTAAGCCACTACCAAACAACCCTATATAGCTGATAAGTCCCATTAAGATCATTAAGTCGTTAACAAACAGACCCTAAATGACCTTTTGACAGGGTTCCTTTAAATCCATGACTTTCTGATAGGTTTCTATGCTTTCTTGCGTTTGGAAGGGGGTCATTTAGGTATGTAACCTTAAAAATGAGAGTTAAATTAAATTCATGACCTTCTGATCTATTAGAGAAAAATGGCTTCATACTCATCAGAAGGTCACGAATTTAATTAAAACTTCTTTAAAGCTATATACCTAAATATGCCCGTTTAGAAGAGCCATTCTTTTATTAGGTTGAGGCATTTTCAAAACTTGTCAAGAGGTCATGGATTTAAAAAACTGTCAGAAGGTCGTTTAGCTAAATAACTCCTCCTCAACCACAACAAATTACACACTGCGACCCGCTTCATTTGCAAAAGAAAAAAGCTAAGAACCAACTAAGATCACTGGCAGATCAATCAACAGATGCGGCCAATGCAATCAGAGATCCAATCTGATCCTTCCTCACTGTGCCTTTCTAGCATATTAAAACCGAAGAGGTAAAAAAGATAGTTTGTATGGGAGAATCAAGAGGAAGCGGGTGACCAATGATACACAAATAACTAATAAAAATCAATAATCAATTCAATGCTGATACACAATTATGAATGAATTAGACACTTCAACGGAACAGTAAAGGGAGTTTATAACTTACGGATAGACCATCTTTTGTACAGTTGGATCCTCCATCATCTTCTCCAAAGCTTCCACTGACATAACAGGATTTGTTGTGTCTGTTCCAATATTTATATGACTTGGTTAGTCTATTACTTGATATATATCATGCGTATATATAGACGCATAATCATTTTACAAACCCAATAAATCATACAAACTTACAAACCAGTTTTCATGTGTTGTTTCACATCTGAAACAAACACGTGCGAAAATGCAATGTTTATGCAGTGTTGTTTCATATGAAAAAAGTTCAGGACTGTTCTATTTCATATATGAAACAACACTAGAAAACTGATCTGTAAGTTTGTAATAATTATTGGGTTTGTAAAAGAATGCGACTCCCTCTCTCTCTCTCTCTCTCTCTCTCTATATATATATATATATATATATATTTGCATGCCTCAGGATGTAACTTATTGTGATTATACCTGCATATAAGAAGAAAAGATTATCAACGAAGTTTTTAAGTTACCTGTGAATGAAGCCTGCTCAAAAGGACCATCCATCGGCTTAGAAGCAGCTCCATTTTGGGAAGCCTTCATTTCGTAAAACAGATTAATCATTTATATGAAATCAGATATTAACCTGAAGCACAGTTCACCATCAAATTCTTACTTGGTTAGCAGTTTCAGAATCCTTTGAAGATTCTGTCTCGGTAGATTCCTCAAACTTAAATGGACTTGTTTTCAATGTTTCCTCAGGAGACACATCAACAAAAGCTGCAAAATTTTGCATTATAAATTTTGGCCCAAGTATAAAAAGAATGAAAACATAAATTTGGGCTGATACCCGTCTTCAAAAATAACCATTCCAACATTTCATAGTTCCAACAGATTCAGTCCAGAACTGTAGCCTTTAGTTGGTCATATATCTTTCAAATGAAATTGAAAGGATGATCATTACATACCAGACTTCTTTGGCTCCTTCGCTGATTCAAAGTTATCTTTGGAACTTGTGGCTTCAGGTGTTGCCTCTGGCTTGGTACGAGGTACATCTACAGTCACGGTCCGTTGAGAAGCAGGTCCAGACGAGGCGGTCGAACTCGGTGATGGGGGTGCTGGAAAAGGGAAAGGTGATCCAGGTGAAGGGGCGGTTGAGCCTGGGGCTACGGGTGTGGGAAATGGAAATGGCGATCCAGGTGAAAATCCAGCATTTGTAAATTGGTTATTTTGTGAGTCCATTTGCCCCATCATGGTCTTAAAGGCTTGTTGCATAGCATATTTCTGAAATTAGAAGCATATAGAAAAATTAGAGAACCCTATAAACCGCCAACCAAGCATCATCAACTAAAACCAAACCAAACCAAATTAGCCCAATATATCCCATTTGGAGGTGTAAGATGTTCGCAAACCTGACTTCTACCTCAAAGAGTAGAGCGGTTGTTTCTGTGAAGACCCTCGTCTTGTGAAAAGTGTGCAAAAAAGATAAGCATAAAAGATAAATATGAATTGGCAATAACAAAACAATATAAGCAGGTAAAGAAACCGCAAACCAATAGTCTAATTGGTCAATGGCACAATGTGTCAAATTGGTTGCTCTTAATTAAAAAACAGAATCCATATGTTTGCGCCTTTGTGGGACCTTTTCTATTTCTTGAAAGCTTTGTATTAAATCAAACCAACACAATAACCAAGACAATCCCACCAAACGTAGGCTTCAGACTCAATACTCCCACAGTTCGCTATAGATTCCGGACCATAGTTGCGTCATCTTTTAGAACTCAATTTCTTTGCTTTTTTCTGTTTTCTAGATATGTTCCTGTTGCCTTCTTTTCATCGTGATCCTCTTTCCCTCTCCTGATTGTTGTCTTTTCTGTATGCAACAAACTTTGTAATCGATGATTTCTTTACAGCTAAGATTGTTGTTATGTACCATGAAGAAGAGGATAACATTGCCTACAAAGTTTTTCTTATGGTATACAAATATCTCTACACGTTTAAAATATCCACCACATGAACATAACTGCCCATCTCTCGTTCTGTCCTGTTTAAATCAGAAATATCAAAAATTGGCTCATTGATTATGGAATTGATCAGTGCTTTTAAAAGGCTCGCCATGATCGCCGCTGTGGCACGAGGCTCGTCTCTAACGCCACTTTACTCTTATGGCACGCCATGATCCAATTCATGTTTCCTGTAAGGCACTATTTGATCCTTTTTTTATACTTTTTAAGTTTTTACATTTTTAATGTTTTACTTTTTACTTTCTAGTAAATAGCATACTGGTATGTGGTCTTATATCAATTAAATAGCAGAAAACATATATGTCTATATATATATATATATATATATATAATTATATATATAATTATATATATGATATATACAAATTTGCCGTCATAAGTCATGCCTTGAAAAATGTTGTGGCTCCTAAGGCTTGAGGCTCAATCTCAACCTCAGCAACACGCCGCGCCTCGCGTTATTTAGAACCTTGGAGTTGATATACTACTCCAGCATCGATATATGAACACAACATCATAACACTTCATGATGCTATGATCGCCATGAAAAACAAATGAGCAAAGAGATTTAGAATCTCCACAGAATTGTTAGCCATAGTATTTAGCCACCCAACAAAGCATAAGGCCACTTGGACAATTAGATACAAAAGGAGTCATCTCCACATTAGAACATGATGACTTAAAGTCTCACATTTTAGTTTACTCATTTGCGAATTGCAATCCCAATACGCCATCATGCAAACACTTGGAAATATAAGATAATACCTTCCAAGAGGGAGGATCAAACGAGAACAAGGTCAAAATAGGAGATCACCAAAACAACCAAATCAATGTAATTTTGCACTAAAAGCACATACGATTTTGAACACGGTCAATGCATGGGTGCACGAGCGACTTGGGCCGTGGCCAAGGTCGCATGTAATCACATGCGATTTTAAGCGTGAGTTTAGTGTAAAATCACATGTGATTTGATTGTTCTTGTGTTCTCTTATTTGGTCATTGTTCTCGTTTGAACACGACTCTACCTTCCAATGCCAAAAGCAGTAGTAGCTTGCTCACAGAACATACAGAACTCTGTATGAAGAACTTTACCTTTAAATATGAAGCCGCCTGCCATTTAAAAAACAGAAAATTAGTCAAATGTGGACTTAGGTGCAGCAAAACTCATAAGAAACAAATATATTCATGAAGAAAGTACGAGCAAAAAAAATTACTCACCCATGAAAAAACTGCCGATAGTGCAACACCAACTCCCACCCAAAAGAGAGGAGAACCTCTACAAGTACAACCAAAAGTCAAATTCAAGTTTTACATTTTATAAAAATCAAGAACGAGTTATATAGACAAAACCAGCTGAAACATAAAATTGAGGGAAGGCACATAATTACACTTGAGAAGATGGGGGTGGCACTGCAATTTGTGGGCTCGCACCAACTGAAGACGTATGTTGATTGCTTGAAGAACCAAGTCTAGCAAAGCAATCTTTCCCCAGCCTCTCCAGTTCTATTCACATGTGAATTCATTTAGATGTAAACCGCAACTCAACGAAAAAGTAAAGAATATCAAGTTTGATAATACTGGAATAATAGAACAAGGCAAAAATAGATAAGACAAATTTTGTGCTCACTACAAGTCAACTACTACTTGGTTATAAGGAAGCATAGACCTCTGCTTATTTCTCTATAATACGATTCACATGCATTCGCTCTGCATAACAAGATTAGATAACAGAAACTCCATATCTTAGTTTTGTAGTCTCAAGTCCTTTTGGACTACCTTTATCTATACCAAGTTATATGTATATGGCCATTTCATTTTAATCGTTCAACGATTTTAATAAGAATTTTAACTGTTGTGTACATCCATTCTTTGTCTTTGTCATAGAAGTATTATTTTACGCTTGATTATGCACTTTAAATGACAACCATCAAAATAACGTTTATGTTGTTTAATAGCATCTCCAACAGGTTCTCTATAATTTCTCTAAAATAGCTAAACCAAAGTCAAAATCTCTAAATAAGATTACATTTCACTCCAAAAAATTCTCTATTTTAGAGATTTCAGCATTAATTATATTATTAAAATATTATATAGTTTTATCATCCCAATGCACTTTTTTTAAAAAAACTTTATATAAAATAATAATAGTTTAATCTTATCAATCTAAGCAACAATGGCATGTGTGCTATGAACATGATATTATAATGTGTCCTCCCATTGTTTGCTAACCCCATAAAGGGCAGACCGTGATCTTCTTACTTGATACCAGACTTTTTGAACATGAACATATGTAATAGCTCAATCTTTGCTCTCTATGATATCAACTTATGACAGCGTAATAAAGAATGTTCAAACTCAAACATACAAACTAAAATTTGTGCAAAAAAAAGGTTTTTAACCAGCAACCCCCGCCTCAAGACTATCATGTGCAGGGGCGGACCTGGTATGGTGGCAGGGGTGGCACGTGCCACCGTATTATTTCGCCACCGAAGGGTAAAATTTTTAGGTTTGTTAATGGTGCTACCGTATTGTTTTGGAAGGTGCTACTGTATTTTCCTGAAATTCAAACAGTGCCACCGTATGAAAAAATTTATGGGTCCGTCCCTGATCATGTGAGAGGCAAATCAAGTACATAACAACCCGCCAGTTGGCTTCCTCAAACGAACTGTAACTCCCACACTGCGGCAGCCAGACTTGAACCCCGCAACCAACATTTGCACTTGGAAACAGAAGCCTCCAGGTAAATTGCTTCTCGGTACAAACGGTTATCAGTAAACCCTTATCTTCCCCATCAAGATCCCCACGTCCATCAAATGGGAGGACGAATATATGCAATGCTTAAATCTACTTAATACTTATACAACTTCCATCCTAAAAGAAACCCATATATCAAAAGCAGGAACCAAAAAGAGAAGTTATTTCTTTCTCTTCCAAGCATATATCCAAACAAGCAATAAATCTCTGAATTTACAATTTACTTACACCTCCATTCAGAAAAATCTTCCCACTTTGACTTATAATATCAAACCTGGTTTATCTTATATGCAAAACTATATACATAACTTTAGTTGTAATACATGTTACCAAATCTAATGTAAATTAGCAACCCTTAATTCAATTTTAAGGTTGCAAAGTTTGGCATTCCAAAGAAGATAGCTGCTCTTTGTTCAATTTCATATCGTTTTCCAAACGAAGAAGGATCAACAGAACAATGCGCATATCTACGAACAAAACCGTCCATATAAACACATACACATACCAAGTGATTTGGATTTTGGACCAGTGATAGCAAAATAAAAACTGAATATCATCAGGAATCTAACAAATTTCTCCTAACAAAAACACCAAACGGAAAAGAGGGAAGGCGAAGAATTACCATTTGATTTGCTATTTGTTCTTGGGGTTGAGCCCTGAGGTTGAGAAACGGCCGAAATTGAAGGTGGGTATTTGGAGCGTAGGCTACTTCTCTTTGGGAATTTGAAGGAACAAAACAAGGGTTTGTTGGAGATTATAGAATCAGTTCGAGGGTTTGCAGTAAAACCCAATACTAGCTTTTGAGAAGAAGCAGAAACGGCAAGATTATCCATCAATGGAAGGTCTGTTAAAAATTTGACAAGAAACAGGTCTACAGAACTGGAATTGAATATTGGTTTTGCAGTTGTGATGGGTATGAAGAGGCGGGAGGAGGACGGAGATGGAGAAGGGGAGTGTTTCTATATATCGGCGACATCTCTACACTCAATAAACCTCATCATGTTTAATCTCAACAGACGACAAATTCGCCCCCAGGGTTTTTTTGCGACTTTTTTTTTAGTTTTTTTGCAACTTATTTTAATAGTTTTTTTAGGTTTTGATTTTTTAAATTAAAACATACTCGGTCTTTATTTACTTTTTAATAGTTTTATTAAAAGACAGCATTTGAATCACTAAGAAGTGAATCTTATTTGACCAATAAAAATCTATCTCTTAATGGTTCTAAAACCTTCTGAGTGATTTTGTATCTTAAGCCTCTCTTAACCAAATAATTATATTTTATTTTGTATTATATTATAAGAGTTTCTTAATCATTTTGCATCAAAAACATTAAGTAACCGTCAAACAGCCCCTTCAAATATGTAGTAGTTTTATTGGATTTGTGAAACACCGAATAATTTTGATTGGTTTGATTTTTTGTTGCGTTAATTTTTTTATGGTTTTAGTTTTGTTCTTGCTAACCAATACATGCTCCTAACTAGTTAGGGATGTACAAAATCGGCCAAGTTCAAAAATAGTCTAGCCATGGACCAAGCCCGGCTCAAAAAAGTTGAGCATGTTCGAGTTCGAAGTCGAATTCGAGCAAGCCCGGCTCAAAGCTCGCGAATTTTTTGGGGCAAGATTGGGCATAGGCCCGATCTGGAAAACCCTAGCTTAGTTAAGCCAGAAAAAAAAAAAAAAGCGCTCAGCCTAGAAAAGCCCGATCAAGGCTTTTTCAGCCGCAAAGCCCTATCCAAGCCAAGCTTTTTTCTTTATTCACTAAAAATAGGCTTGGAAATTTGGGCCTTGTGCATCTTTATCCCTAACTGTTTTTTAGAACGTGTTATTATACGATATTAGATAGTTGGTAACAATAAAAGACGGTACATGAGATAGTGTTTTGATGTATTTTCGTCAGAAGTTGTAATAATTACTTTTACTGGTATTGAGTTTGTCGGTACAAGTATCGATATTAACAACTCGATCATCTAACAAGGTACTGGAGCTTTTTTTAATCTCAAACTTAATAATTATCGAGTTCAAGTCGATCTCGAACACAAAATTAAACTCGTTTTAGCTTAACGATATGAGCTCTGTAATGCCAATGTTTGATTCGGTTCGTTATAAAGCTTGATTAAAAATTTTCACGTTACGTCAGGCCATATGAGCATACATTTTTTCGAGTCATGCGTTTTCATGCTTCCATAAAACCAAAAACTGAAAGAAAAAAAGGGTTGTTAACAGTGTCGAGCAATAAACAAGTTTATCGAGTTTGAGCTCGATAAAATAAACGAGTTAATTGATCTCGTGTCTGAGCCCATAATTAGAAAAGGAACTAGTTAAGGGCTTGAACCCAAACCCAAAAAAAATGGTTTACAAGTTTAGTTGATTTTGTGTCGTGGACCTTGGAGCTGGACTGATAGGAGCAATTTTGGGCCTGATTCAAGCCTAAAAAAGATGGCAAAATGGGACCGGCCCGGCACCACCGAGACCAGCGGAGGACCGGGACCGACTTAAGACTGGTCCGGCTCGGGATCGATTGGAACTGGTTTGGGACCACCGGTTATGGACCAATAATGGTTTTCATCCAAAAACAAGAGCCGGTCCGGGACCGGTCCGTTTAAAAAAATGTATTTTTATATGTATTTATAGATTTCTAAATGTATTTGATTGAAAATCAAATTACAAATTTAGAATAAAACATATTTTTTAAGTGTATTTGATTGAAAACCAATTATAAAACTATAATAAAGCGTAATTTTCAAGTCTATTTGATTGAAAACCAATTATAAAACTACAATAAAACGTATTTTTCAAGTGTATTTGATTGACCTAATTAGATATTTTAAAGTGTATTAGAATAACATTAAAGTATTTTAAAAAAATATACAAAAAGAAAATATTTTTTTAATATATGACTGGTTTGGGCCCGACCCGGGATTGGGACCGGTTATCGTAACCGGTTACAAGTACCCTTAACTGGGCCTTAGTATTTTCGACGAGACCGTCCAGATTGTTACTGTTTCAGCTCAGGACCGATTTGGGACCGACCCGAAACTGGTTTTTGGCCGTGTCTATATATAAATCTAACCATTCATTCTAAGGGGAAGAAACATATGACCTTCATTAAACACAAGTCAACTCATTTTTATTGTAAGCTTTATGCCAAAGTAATAGGGTTTCTTTTGGCAACCTATCTAATAAAAAACGTGCATCGGATAAATACTTATTTCATAAGCGTTTCGTAAATGATTTTTTAATCATTTAATAAAAAAAAATGGTCTCGACAACTCAATACGAGTGTGAAACATTACGCAAAAAGCTTGAAGAATCAAGTATGCAACATTATGCTTGCAAAACATCAAGATCGTTTAAAATGCATATATAAAGTTGTTTTTTCTATTAACCTGGTTATCCAATCTACTATGTGAGCCGACTAATCACAGGGCGACAATGAGATTGTTATTCCTCTTTGGATTCGAACCTGGGACCTCACTTTTGACCTTTGGAGCTCAAGCTCAAACCAATCAGGTACCACCCTTGTGGTTGCATATGAAATTGTTATTATCAAGGATGGTTGCTTGATAAAGGGGTTAGGGTCGGTGTTTCATTGGCAAGATCGTACGCGAAACCAACAACTTACCCTTCACGATATATGTTTTTTTGATGATCCGGTAATTAAGAATAATGTTTTTAAGGATAAAAAATACGTTTAAAGTTAATTTTTTAGAGGTTTATTTTTTTTCTGTTGCAAAACTGATAAAAAATTCGTTATATCTTTAACAATTTACCTGGTAAGCATTTATTGTGGTAAGAGTCATCGTCCTCAATTAATAGGTAATACTCTTCTTCATGTATCGCTCTTACCGGATGAGATTCTTGGTCCTTGTCATATTCTTCCGGTTTGGTAATATGACTTGATAAGCTCTTACCCAGATAAGCATTTGGTAAACGACCCTAAATTGTATATAAACTATGCATATTTTATGTTCTATTTTGAGTAACATAATCTAAAAATCCCCATTAAGAGTACATTTTGAAAAACCTCCATTTTGGTGTCGTTTACCAAACGTTTACCCAAGTAAGTGCTTACCAAGTCACTTTACTTTACCGGGTGAATATGGCAAGGACTATAAATCTTACCCGGTAAGAGCGAAGACAAGAATCGAGAGTCTTACCCGGTAAGTGAGGACGAAGACTCTTACCATGGGGTTAGCGCTTACAGGGATAAATTGTTGCATACGATGGGTTTTAGTGAATAAAATCTTATCCGGTAAATAAACAATTGTATTGAATTTTACCGATAAGCGCTTACCGGGTAAATGTTTAGGTAAACGACCCCTTTATATCCAATGCTAACATGAAATTCATAACACTTAACATGTTTTTACAAGTTGGATTACAGCACCACAAAAGTCAATATCTCCACTGAAAAAACCAACGAAATGAGTGAAATCTTACATGTAAATATGAGAATGTAAACTTTTAATATTAATTATTGCTTTGTTCTAATATATATAAATAAATCTTTCATTCAAGTTCTACAATTTGGGGCCTAAATTTACATGTGTTTTGGGTCTTTTTATCGACCTGTGTAAAACTATAAGCGAAATTATTTAGGTTCAAACAATTAATTGTTTGATTTTAGGTTCAAATTATTAATGATTTAGATTTAGTTCAAAATGTTAATCGTTTTAGGTTTATCTCATTTTTGTTCTTAACATATATATTATCTGTCATCTCATTTATGTAATGTAATCAAAAGTTTTGAATGTAGCAGAGCTTTTAAAAAAACTGGAACATCCCTGGAAAAAATAAATAAATCATATATAAGGTTGGATTCTGATGAGAAATGAAGTTAAGATGAAAAGCGTTAGAAAAGATCTCCACCATTTGATGCACATTAGGATGAGATGCACCAAAATAATATCCCCGTATCAAACACGATTCATATATGAGTTTGAGATTAAAGGTGATCAAATATCTGGATCTTTTTTTACGTTTCTCACACGATTCTTTGCCTATATACATAAGGCTAATCATTTTGTTAACTAAACAATTAGTGTTAATTTTGCAAACTAATAATGACCGATCAAACCCTAAGTTAGAATGATGTTTCACATAGGAGTTTCATATTGAGTAAGGGTAATTTTGTACTTTTACTTTTTATTTATTAAATGATTTCATTATCATTTCCATGATTTTATGGGTGATAATTATGGATGTTATTTAGGTTGTTTGTTTTGAGTTATTTACTGTATATTTGTTTCATGATTACACAACAGTATCATGTCAAAAGTTGAACAAAGTTGTCTCTAGAATTCATGATTCCATACTTATATTGTTATAAAAGTCATTGTCATCCATGTTCATAGCTGTCATAGCTGAGGCCGTAGCTGGTGGAGGAAGCTTTGAGTTAGACTGAGCAAAACGATTAGAAAGACATTGTTGTGGAGACAGATTGTTTAACAGTAGTCCAAGCGCTATGCTGTGATTCGTTTACGATATCCTCGTTTGGTGCCATTATACAGATCTGCAAATCAATCATGGAGAGACTCCAGAATATGTCTGTTATTTCCATCAAACGATCAGCAAACATGATAGCTCACAACATCACTGGAGGATCACGTTTCTTATCTGTTTGTAACGTTGAGGAATTAGTTTTACTCCAAAAATATTGTTCCTTGCTTGTTTGACGACATTAATGAATGAATCTGTTTCTCTTTAAAAAAGCAGTGAAAACTTCTACCATCATTAACACATTACAGTCATCAACAAAATGAACCGTGCCACCATAAGTGGAATTGATGCAGTGTCTCAATGAAGGAGATATTTCAGAGAACGTGATACTTTATTGTTCTAGGTCTAAATGAAACTTTACCATCACACCCTTGTTTACAAATCGTCTCAACTTATTTCACACACATCAATTTCCAATTTATTACAAGATTGCATTATTCATTACTAGAATGATACTCACGCAATGCAGCGAGATACATCTTTATTTTTATTTTTATTTTTATTTTTATTTTTATTTTAAAATATTGGTTGATATAATACGGTTTATGTGATTATGAGAAAGATAATGTTTTACTTTTGAATAAAAATAAATTTGAAAAAATATATCGATATTAATATCAAATTGACTATTTAAATGTTCTCGTTTTTTTGTACAGTTTCGTTAATTTGATTTTTTATTATAATTTAATTTAGGTCAAATAGTGAAGTAAATTATTTTTGGCTTAACAATAAATTTTTTTTAAAAATAATAATTCTGTTATAACTCAATAATTATCCTAATTATATATTAGATTTTTTATATTTAAAATAAGATGTTTATCCTATATTTGATTGTGTTTATCTGTAGTTAGTTATATGAATTCAAAAATTGAGTTTTAATAAGTTATACTTATGCACAATTTACTTGTAATATTAAATTTTAAGTAATATGCATTAACGCACAATACTTCATGCATAAATAATGGTTTTTAAGAGTTTTTTTAAATGTTTTATAATATAGTAGCGATAACAGTTGATTTCATAAATTAAAGGCCCATATTGATTTGTAGAGTTAACAATGATTTTGTGGTTAACAAATGGAAGAGGCTATGTATATACACTTTTAAATAAAAAACATTCATATTTTATAAAAAATGGATTTTTTTTATTAACCTGGATATCCAACCCGTTAAGCGAGTTGATTAATCACAGGACGACCATCTGCTTTGCAGATAGTTCGGAATCACCGCATTTGAACCTACGTGACCACAAAGGAATTTTTATTATAACCATTAATTTGAGACGTATATGGTTTTTGGTTGTTTTTACCGGATATTCGAGTTAGCAAAATATGTTCAACCATTATTTATAATTTCAATTTTGTTCAAACTAGAAATTGTTTAAATAAAATATCGTATTAATTTTTCATTCCTAATTTATATAAGCCATTTATTAGATACTTACTTTGATAAGCACTTACTGGTTGAATTATCTTATGTTTGGTAGTTACTGAATGGTTTGATGCTGAATGATTAAGTGGTCGGAATGATTAAAAGGCTCTCATGATATAGTGCAAAATGAAATATAATAGTTTGGTAATTGTTTACAACGAAATTAGAGCGTCGAATAGTTAAAGGAGACCCATGATACAAAATCATTCAGAGATTCTAGAATCATTAAGAGAATGTCCCTTAATGGAACTATTAAGAAGTAAACAAACAACCCCTTACTAAGAAATACTAGAAGGGTATTCGCGTAATGCAGCGAGATAAATCTTGATTTTAATATTTCATCTTATTATTTATCTTAGTTGATGTTATAGTATGGTCTTATGTGATTTTGAAAAAACGATGATGTTTTTATTTTTTAATAAAATATAAACTTGAAGATATCATAAAAATTTGAGAAAAATATATTGATATTAGTATCAAATTAACTATTTAAAATTTCTATATTTTGTGTAATTTTTTAATTCATTTTTTATTATAATTTAATTTCGGTTCAATAACGAAGTAATTTATATTTGGTTTAATAATATATTTTTCTTATAAAGATAATAATTAATTATTTTGTTAGAATTCGATAATTATCCTAATTATATTTTAGATTTTAAAATGAGATGTTTATCCTCTATTTGATTATGTTTATCCGCAATTAATTACACGAATTTAAATATGGAGCTTTAATAAGTTATACTTATGCATAATTATTTGTAATCTTGAATTTTAAGTAATATGTATCAATATACAATACTTCATGCATAAAAAAATGATTTCTAAGAGTTTTTGTCAAATGCTTTATAATATGGTATAGATAATAAAGACCAATAATCTAACCCAAAAAAACATAATCGATAATCTTATTTGATAAGTGAGAATGATAACTCTTACCAATAAACAATTAAGGAGTTATAAATATTTACCATCAATTAGTTTTTTAAAAAAGCAATCATTTACTTATTGTTGGTGGCGGTGACGGATGACGATAGATAAAAGGATTGTGATATGCAAAGATACATAAGTAAGGGCAGATTCGTCATTTTGAAAACCGAAGCCTTTACTACTGTACAGGAAAGCATGGGCCCGAAGTGAGGTTTTCTCATCACTTCGCAGATTTTGAGAAAAAAAAGCAAAAAGATTTTAGGGCTAGCAACAAGAACAACCATCGCAATTTCATCAAGATTCTTGCTTCAATGCAATCTCTCTTCCAATTCAACGTCTTCAGAGATCCCACCTTCAAAATCCCAAGGTAAATTTCCCTTTTCAACTCTCATCGTGATTCTCGTTCCTGCCGATGAACGAAGATATCGTTTACAGCGTCGAATTGGTTCACTCATTTTGAAAGTTGAAACCCAGTTCGAATCCGATAGATGAACACCGTTTTTGGTGTACCCAATCGATTTTAGGTGTTTTTTAGCTTACCCATTTGAAGAAATCACGAATTCGTGTCGTTTTATGGCTCAGAAGATTTCTTGAAGTTGTGAAAATCGAAATAGATATATATATAGAGAGAGAAAGAGCTGTTAGCGATTAGGGACTATATTATGGCTGATGATTCTTTAGCTGAAATCGCCGAACCATCACTCGTGAGTTTAACAGATCATCATCAGCAACAGCAACAGCAACAGCCTCTTGATTTGGTAGATTTGACAAATCATGCTTTAGTTATAGGTCAAGAATTTCCAGATGTTGAAACTTGTAGAAGGGCTTTGAAAGATATCGCCATAGCATTGCACTTTGATCTTCGAATAGTCAAATCGGATCGTAGTCGTTTTATAGCTAAATGCTCGAAAGAAGGTTGTCCATGGCGTGTTCATGTTGCAAAATGCCCAAATGTACCTACCTTTTCGATTAGAACACTTCATGGAGAGCATACATGTGAAGGGGTTCGGAACCTCCATCATCAGCAAGCGTCGGTAGGTTGGGTTGCGAGATCGGTTGAATCAAGAATCCGGGATAATCCACAGTATAAACCGAAGGAGATTTTGCAAGATATTCGTGATCAACATGGTGTTGCGGTTTCTTATATGCAAGCTTGGCGTGGAAAAGAGCGTAGTATGGCTGCATTACATGGAACTTTTGAAGAAGGGTACCGGCTTTTACCTACGTATTGTGAACAAATTCGGAAAAGTAATCCAGGAAGCATAGCGTCGGTTTTCTCCACAGGACAAGATAATTGCTTCCAACGCCTCTTTATATCGTATCGTGCATCAATCATTGGGTTTTTGAATGCTTGTAGGCCGTTACTAGAACTTGATAAAGCCCATCTAAAAGGAAAGTATTTAGGTACCCTTATATGTGCTTCAGCTGTTGATGGTGATGATGGATTGTTTCCTTTAGCATTTGCGGTAGTTGATGTTGAAAGTGACGAAAACTGGATGTGGTTTATGTCGGAATTGCGTAAGCTTCTTGGTGTCAATACCGAAAACATGCCTAGACTCACGATATTATCTGAAAGGCAGCGGGGCATGGTGGAGGCCGTCGAGACGCATTTTCCAAGCGCTTTTCACGGGTTCTGTTTGCGGTATGTTAGCGAGAATTTTCGCGATACATTCAAGAATTCAAAACTAGTGAACATATTTTGGAGTGCCGTTTACGCCCTTACACCAGTTGAATTCGAAAGCAAGATATCCGAGATGCTTGAGGTTTCCCAAGATGTCATTTTGTGGTTCCAAGAATTCCCGCCTCAACTCTGGGCAGTAGCGTACTTTGAAGGCGTCCGTTATGGACATTTCACATTAGGGATCACTGAACTTTTATATAATTGGGCATTAGAAGGTCACGAACTCCCAATTGTGCAACTAATGGAGCACATCCGCCATCAATTGATCACATGGTTTGAAAACCGGCTTAATATGGGAATGAGATGGAACTCAATAGTCGTACCATCTGCAGAAAAACGGATTCTTGAAGCGATTGCTGATGCCCGTTGCTATCAGGTTTTGCGTGCAAATGAGGTTGAATTTGAGGTTGTGTCAACTGAGCGAACAAACATCGTGGACATAAGAAGTAGAGTATGCTCATGCCGCCGGTGGCAGTTATATGGTCTTCCGTGTGCACATGCTGCAGCCGCCCTCATATCTAGCGGCAAGAATGCACATGTGTTTGCTGATCATTGTTTTAAAGTAGAAAGTTATCGTGAAACATACTCACAGATGATATATCCGGTTCCAGATAAAAGTCTTTGGAAAGATCTTAGTGAAGGCGGAGGTGTGAAATTCGATATCATAATCCGTCCACCAAAGACACGCAGGCCTCCTGGTCGGCCAAAAAAGAAAGTTCTTCGTATAGAGAGTTTGAAGCGGCCAAAAAGAATCGTTCAATGTGGGCGTTGCCATATGTTGGGACACTCTCAAAAGAAGTGTGCGATGCCAATTTGACGTCAATGGTTGTTTGTTCTCTTATCCTTCTTTAATATCCATTTGTTTTCGCTTTGGTTTTTTGACAATCGGCATAGAGTTGTGTATTTGTATGCTTAAGAAGTTGCAAAATAAGTTCTTGTTGTTAGCTTTCATCGTGTATATCATAGTCGCATTGTTCAATCATGCGCTCCTTTTCAGATACAAAAGAAAACTATTGTTCTGGGTTCATAGTCGACTAGTTGTTATGCCACTCACATATACTTACGTTAACTGTGTAAGGGTGAGGCCCGGGTCTAATCATTGACCGAATAGAGTCCCTCCCCTTAGCTTACCAGGTCAGTATCATGGACCGTAATAGGGGATTGGTAAACAACATCTCTACCTGGGGATAAGAGGCTGTAAGCAGGTAGTAAACAACCCCTAAATCCTTTTTCATATATAACGTTCAGATGCATCGTTGTGGTGAGTACACGCTAAAATTCTTGGAAACCACCAAAACGTAATTGTTGTGATGTGAGAATGCTATCATTCGAACTTCCATTCTTTGTAGTTTTATATACTTGTTGCAGGTAGAGAAAAGGTATGCGTACATCGTACCCCTAGACCTTGATCTATATTAGGTATGCTTTATTTAGGGGTTGTTTGGTTGGTTTTCCATTTAGTCAGGTATAAATAAAGGTATCTGTATGGATTAATCTGTCTGTATAGATTGAGAACGTTTTTGCTTGTAATGCTTTTTTCATAGATGGAAGGAGCGTGCTTTTTAATTATGAGGGACAAGTTTGGAAAAATTGGCTTTCTGCAGAAAGCTCTCTCCATAAGCTATTGAACAAGTCACTTCCTATATCATTAAGCCATGTATAGCTGACAGAATAAGCTGTGAGTCTCATTAATCTCATTAAGCTGCTAATGAATAGGCCTTTAGTTTAGATTGGGACAGGACATGACTGACCAAAATAGGTGGAACAAAAATCAGTGAAATAAGACGAGATTGGTAAATTACTAAACTACCCATGTCAGATTAAAACCCTAAAACCTTGCACAATTCTTTCATCTGCCTGCCTCACTCTCTTCTGTTCAGTGGCGTGTACGTACCAAACGCACCCTCAGGGGTATGCCCTCAAGATCAGTTATACTCGTCTTTTTGGATTATCCAGAAAACGTTGATATTTGAATTTTCGTATTCGTCAGCTTTGTCCAAGCCATACTTGCAATCTTTTGTAAAACGAAAGAAGAGGCGTGAGAAGGAAGTTCTATTCGGTGCTTGTGGATGTCTGTCTGTTGACCAACGGTGATCGTTTCTTTTGTTCTTTTTCCTTTCTTTCTCACTCGAATGCATTTTCTTTTCCTAACCATATAAATGTCTTGTGCTCCAGATGACGGGTTTTCTTCGCTAGCACCATATGTTCCAGAAGACTCCAATGGGCCGGACATCCTGTAAGTAGGGCTGTAAACGAACCGAATGTTCAGTGAACCGTTCGTGAACCGTTCGGCGGGAAGTTCGTTTATTTAATAAATGAACGAACATGAACAAATTTTTTTGTTCGTTTAGTTAAACGAACGAACATGAATAAGAGTCTCGTTCGTTCATTTATGTTCGTGAATGTTCGTTCATTTACCGTTCGTTTATATTCGTTCGTTTATATATTAAATTTAATATATATTCTTTTTATTATATACTTTGAATTCAAATAATATTTATTTATGTTCGTTTAGCCCGTTCGTTTATGTTCGTTTAGTCCGTTCGTTTATGTTCGTTCGTTTACGTTCGTTTAGCATGTTAATGAACGCACATAAACGAACACGAACATACCTGATTTCTAAACGAACGAACACGAACACAAAGATTTTCGTTCGTTTACCGTTCGTGTTTGTTCGTTTGCTCGGTTAAGTTAAACGAACGAACATGAACAAGCCTCCGTTCGTGTTCGTTCGGTTCGTTTACAGCCCTACCTGTAAGTTCGCTTCCTTTTGCTGTTCCTACTTCCATTTATACGCCGAAAGGTTTATTTATTGGTGCCCTATATTAAGGTGTTACAACAGGATGTTAGGACGTATTTGGACATCCTAATAAGTCTTAAGTGCCCCGTTGGCTTTTCAGGACGGGGCCATTAACTTTTGTTGTACCTGTCTCGATTTCTTGTTTTGTGGCCTTTACTTCATTCCTTTTCGTGTTTTACGCTATCTCGATTCCAACTCCCCTCTTTTTATTGTATGCATCTGCAATCTTTGTCGGGTTCTTGACAAATGAACAAGATTATATCTTAAGCAAACCACCGGCCGAGCCCTCATTTGCCAACCCCACCTGCCAGGGTCGGGAATCGTCCAAAGGGAGGGTGGTTAGTGGTGGTTAAGGGTGGCTACCGGTGTTTTAAGGGAGGTTTCTGGTGAACACCAGCTCTTCTTGAATTGACACGCATTGGTTCTTTCCAAAAAACCATATCCAAGAAATGCGACTTGTTGGTTTGTTCCTCTTTTGTTATGTGGTTCAGAAGTAACTGCAGTGGTTCGATTGTGCTGTTAAAAGATGGTCTGTGAAACTTTATTCGCTCGTTGAGTAGCATTTTGAAGCTAAATGGCTTCTCTTTTTCAGACAGTACCTCCAAGTGAAATATACTGAGTTTGTTTAGTTATCTGTTGGCAAGAACCATGTTGTTTGGATCAGTTGGATTTCATACAGATAAAAAGAAAGGTATACAGGTAGTGATGTGGACCGTCTGTATAAGTTTCCGTTATTATGAACACGCGTGGTGTTTATGTAAATGTGCTCAGTTGGGCAAGTCGTGGGTTTGTTTCTCATCGGTCACCAGTTTGAGTTCAGTTAAAACCATCTCCAACGTGCACCTCTAAGAAAACACTAGAATTTGGGCCCGTCCCTATTAAAACAGAGAACTAGCGTTTGGTTAACATGATGTTTTCTAAAGGAATGTAATCTATCAAAGGAATTTGATTTTGAAAGAATTTAAATGGAATTTGACTGTGCCTTTGGTGGTGTGGCCAATTCCGTTGACCAAATTCCATTCATGCATGTGGTTCATTCTCAGAGTTTTGGTAAGGAATTCAAATTGACACATATTTCAAGAAAAACTATTATATATACTTCATTCAATTCAATACCACCACAATGGTCGTCACCATTGCTGGTGTCGCCATCACCGTCGTCACCCACCATTGATGTCGACACCCACCTTCGTTGTTGTCATCACCACCGCCACAACCGTTGCCACTACTATCACTATAACAGTAACAAACTTTTAGTCAGATAAATTGATGATATCATAATTCGTTTGATCTGTTGTAATGATATATAGTCGACCGTTATCATATTTCTTCTTTAAAATGCAATCGAGATTCAAACAATCTTCTTGAAAGCGATGAATGGTTTATGAACTTCGATTTGATCTCTGTCTTCTAGCATTAAAATCCCGAAACTCCCATTGCGTGTTCATTGCGTAACGGAAACAACCAACTCCCAGTTCCTTGCTGCTCTAAAACAGTTTTTACTTTCGAAAAAAGGACTAAAAACAAAATAAAATGCCGAATAGAGTAATAATTGTAAATTTTATCAAAGTTATGAAGGCATGGAACTGAATGTTATTATCTTTTGGAGGAACAACTTCGTATTTCTCAGAATTGAAGGACCCGTTTTGCCAAAAATATACGTCTGTTTCAAACGGTGGTGGTTGATGGTGACTTCACGATGATATGAGACAAAAGCGTGTAATTGGACCGTTTTCTTAACCAATATGCTAAATTTCATTTTTTAACATCAAATATAATGAAAAGAATTATATAAAAAAATACTATAATAATAGAAAATGAATCATTAAAATTACTATTTAAAATAAAAACAAAATTAAAATAATGAAAAAAAAAAGAAATTAAATAATTAAATATATAATAATTCTAATTAAGTTCACAAACAAAACAAATTATAATCATTTTTAAAATATTAATCTCTCAATTTCTAATAGCGGGCCCCACATGAAAGGAACACAAACAAAAAACCCAACTCTTGCGATGGTAAACAAAATACGAAACGGTGGACCGGAACGAAATAACTCCATGTCGAGTTAAAATCAGTGTTTTAAAAGATTCGTCACGGCAACCGTCATGGTACACAGTCACTCATGACTTATCTTTAATGTCACGTTAAATCAGTGACATGCAATTGATTGATTAGCACTTACTGTAAAGCGTTATTTGATTTTTTTTTTACTTTTTAAATGTCTTAGTTCTTAGTATATAACCTAATTTAAATTGTTAAATATCATCGGATCATTGAGTAATAGTAGAAAACATGTGTGTGTGTGTGTATATATATATATATATATATGACGATTAAATGCAAACCATTCATATTTGTACACATTGTGCAAACCACTCTCATCCGTCGATTTTATTGTTTAATCTTATGAAATTTTTTCGTAAAATTGTTTAATCTTATTAAATTTTTTCATGTAATTTTTTTTTGATGAAGTTGTTTCATATATGGTTATGAAATTTCAATGAAATTGTATTATGTATTTCTCTAAAATTAATATAACGAAGATGATAATATTCATGTATTTCTGTATTTGAACATTTCGACGTTTTGGCATCGTATAAACCGACCAATTTTGTTGTAGCTAGTGAGGTGTCTCTTGTATATATCTTCTTCTTTTTTAAAATCTACTAAATATTTCTCTCTCTCTCTATATATATATATAGAGAGAGAGAGATAGAGTGTGTCAGATTCTTATGAGTACGAAATAATCTATACTATATTATAAATCATTTGACAAAAACTCTTAAAAACCACTTTTTATACGTAAAGTACTGTTTATTAATGCATATTACTTAAAACTTAATATTACAAGTATACTGTACATAAGTACAACTTATTAAAGCTCTATATCTGAATTCGTGTAACTAACTGCAAATAAACATAATCAAATACAAGATAAGCATCTCATTTTAAATATAAAAAATCTAAAATATAATTAGWATAATYATTGAATTCTAACAKAATACTTAATTATTATCTTTATAAAATTTATAATGTTAAACCAAAAACAAATTATTTCATTATTAAACTTAAATTAAATTATAATAAAAAATAAATTAAAGAAATTATATAAAAAATGAGAACTTTTAAATAATTGATTTGATGTTAACATTGATATATTTTTTTTTCAAATTTGTATGATATCTTTAAATTTATATTTTATTCAAAAATAAAATCATTATTGTTTTCTTAAAAACACATAATCTATATCTATACTATATTATAAAGCATTTGACAAAAACTCTTAAAAATCACTTTTTATGTGTAAAGTACTGTTTAATGATGCATATTACTTAAAACTCAAGATTGCAAGTAGATTATGCGTAAATACAACTTATTAAAGGTTCATATATGAATTCGTGTAACTAACTGCAGATAAACATAATCAATTACAGGATAAACATCTCATTTTTAAATATAAAAAATTTAAAATATAATTAGGATAATCATTGAGTTCTAACAGAATACTTAATCATTATCTTTATAAAATTTATATTATTAAACCAAAAATAAATCATTTCGTTATTAAACTTAAATTAAATTACAATAAAAAAATAAATTAAACAAATTATATAAAAAATGAGAACTTTTAAATAGTTGATTTGATATTAACATTGATATATTTTTTTTCTTCAAATTTTTATGATATATTCAAATTTATATTTTATTAAAAAATATATCATTATTGCTTTCTTAAAAACACATAAAATCGTATTATAAATCGACATAGACAAATAATAAAAATAAAACATTAAAATCAAAATGTATTTAGCTGCATTCCACAGGTACTTTTCTAGTATAATAAAAAACCGTCGAGTCAAATGTGATTTTATACTAGAGTCACTTGTAGAATCACATGTGATTTTACACCAAATGATCATGTGTAAAATCACAACCCCCCCCCCACACACACACACACACACATATATATATATATATATTTGTGTGCGTGTATATATAGGGGCTTAATTATTTTAGAACTTTAAAATTTGTGAGATCCGTGAGAACTTCTATCTTAAGGTTTAGTTTTTGACATGATTTTTTTCCGTTTAAATATAATATTAAGTGTATTGATTAACATATATTTGTTTAACAATGTGTTTGCTTATATGGATTCTGATTTACAAAAGTGATAACTTTTACGTGTATTTTTTGTTTTCACATACACGTAAAAATGTTCACATTAACCACAAAGGTGGTGCCTGATTGGTTTGAATTTGACTCCAAAGGTCAAAAGTATCAAGAGGTCCTAGGTTCAAATCCAAGGAGAAATAAAAATCCCCTAGTGGCCACGGAGGTTCAAATGCGGTGACTTCGGGCTATCTGCAAAGCAGGTGGTCGCCTTGGGATTAGTCGGCTCGCATAGTGAGTTGGATATCCAGGTTAATAAAAAAAATGTTCACATTATGATTCAAATACATATGAAACAAACACATTGTGAAACAAATATATGTTAATCAATATTCTAAATCTTAGTCTTAAATGGAAAAAAAATCATATGAAACAACACATAATGCACAAGTTCTCAAGGTTATCACAATTTTATGGGTTCTCAAAACGTCATATATAGACGAACGATCATGTGAGAATGAGAGTTAAGATGAGAAACAACCTTTAACTCTTATTCTTACACTTAATCATTCGACATTCGTGTATATATATATATAAAGCCTCAATTAACCATCGGATACCAAACGATGGAAGGAGGCAACAAGACAAAGTATCATGTGGTGTTCGTACCATTTCCAGCACAAAGCCACATCAAGTGCATGCTGAAACTAGCCAGGCTCCTGCACCACAAAGGCCTGCACATAACCTTCGTCAACACCGAGTTCAGCCACAAGCGGCTACTCGAGTCTGGAGGGCCACACAGCCTGGACGGTGCACCAGGGTTCCGGTTCGAAACCATTTCAGATGGTTTCGTTTGTAAACATGGCAGCAACATCGTGGATGTAACCGAAATGGATGAACTCTATAACTCTCTTCGAACCAACTGCTTGGCTCCGTTTCTCGATCTTGTGGCTAGACTCGAGACTCATGTCACTTGTATCATATCTGATGCTTTCATGCCTTTCCCCATTGATGCGGCTCAGAAGCTTCAGGTCCCAATCTTGCAGTTCTGGACTTTTGCTGCTACTGGCTTCATGGGGTTTTATCAGGTCCCAAATCTAGCAGAAAAAGAAGTTTTCCCACCTAAAGGTTTTGTTTTTTCACCTTTCTCTAACCCTAAAACTACAACAAGGGTCGTCCCTAATTGGTTTGAGCTTGGCTCTAAAGGTCAAAAGTACCTCGAGGTCTCAGGTTCAAGTCCAAGGAGAAATAAAAACCCCCTTGTGGCTACGGAGGTTCAAATACGGTGACTCCAGGCTATCTGCAAAGCAGGTGGTCGCTTTGGGGCTGTTAACCAAATATGTCTTAAGGGGCCGTTAACCAAACGCATACCGGGCGAGCACTTACCATCAAGAATCATCTCCTTCACTTACCTTGTTAGTTAACATTTACGACAATCAAAATGAATTGTTGGTAAATGCTTACTGTGAGTCTTTTCCCTTATTTACAGGGTAAGATTTTTGTTTATTAACCTGGATATCCAACCCGCTATGCGAGCCGACTAATCACAGGACGACCACCTGCTTTGAATTTAGCCCAGAGTCACCGCATATGAACCTCCATGGCCACAAGGGGATTTTTATTCCTCTTTGGATTTGAACCTGTGACATTTGGAGCCAAGCTCAAATCAATCAGGCACCACCCCTTGTGGTTCGTTGTTATATTTCTTGATGATTTCATATACGATTTACAGATGGAAGTTGTTTCACGAATGGGAATCTCGACACTGTAATAGACGGGATTCCCGGATTAGAAGGTTTTCGTTTGAAAGATCTTGCGTGTTCTCGATACACGAACCTAAACGAACCAGGCTACACCTACCTATCAGCGTGTCTTAAAGCGACTCAGAAGATTCAACATATAATCCTCCACACCTTCCAAGAGTTGGAACCCAATGTCATCAAAGCCATCGAACCCATCTTCCCAAAGGTCTACACAGTCGGACCATTGCAGTTGCTTCTGAACCACTTATCATCCGCGGACGAAGCAAACAAGTTTGATTCCAGTGGCTGCTACATGAGTTTTTGGAAGGAAGAACCTGAATGTGTCAAATGGTTGCAGTCAAAAGAACCAAACTCAGTGGTTTATGTGAATTTTGGAAGCATAGCAGTGATGTCTAAACAAGAACTCATGGAGTTTGGTTATGGACTTGTTAACAGTAACCATTACTTTCTTTGGATCATTAGACCAGATCTGGTTTTAGGGGAGTCTGGTGTTTTGCCACCAGAATTCCAAGAGATGGTTAAAAAGAGAGGGTTTATAGGGAGCTGGTGTTCACAGGAAGAGGTCTTGAACCACCCTTCGGTTGGTGGGTTCTTGACTCATTGCGGGTGGGGTTCGACGATCGAGAGTTTATCAGCTGGGGTTCCCATGATCTGTAGGCCGTTCCGCGGTGACCAACTTACGAATTGTAGGCAAATTTGTAAAGAATGGCGGGTTGGGATGGAGATCGGGAGCCGTGTTAACCGAGATGAAGTTGAGAAGGTCGTGAGGGAGTTGATGGACGGAATCGAGGGTAAACGAATGAGGAATAAGGCTACGGAGTGGAAGAAAATGGCGGAAATCGCAACGGGTTCTAATGGTTCGTCGTATTTAAACGTCGAAAAACTTGCTAACGACATCATCATGCTTTCAAGCGATTAAACTTTCATGTGTTTTTTTCGGGTTAATTCCCTTTGCCTTGATGTATTTATCGTTGTAACCTGTAAAATCGAAACGTTTCGCGTGTTTACCGTGATTTTTGTGCCTTAAAATCCGAATCAAACGGTCCCTATCGGATTATCGACAGATAACTTATTTTTAATTGATAAATTTTGAATCCGTTAGTGATCCCGTAGAAAACCACAGACGTGAAAGTCTGTTTTCTAGTAGTGATCACTTGTAATGGATCACGCATAATGTTGACCATTTGGTATGGTGTTACCCGGTCTGGTATGGTATGGTATGGTTTGGTATGGATCACGCATAATGTTGACCGTTTGGTATGGTGTTACCCGGTCTGACCGATACATGTCGTGTTCGCTTTGATTTGACCACACATATAAAAGATTTGAGGATTCGGTACAAGTTTTACGAGTCTGCGTATGCGAGGCATCCTTCCTTAGCTTCGATCGTGTATGAGTTGTAGAAACATCCTTTCGAGCAATCATGTCTATGCGACCTACGGTAATATACCCAGGTCGCATAGGATGCCTAGACAGATTTTAATTACTTTCTAGGGCTCGTTTCGTTGCATCTTCTATTCTACTTGTTCCTTCGTTCTCTGTTAGTCGTTGCTGTATTAATTTTATTAAACATCATATAGTAGATCGGTTCTCGACGTCCTTAATATGTTTGTTTTTTTTATAAAAGGGCTCTTATCAGTCTTTTATGTCTTATTGGTTAAGAAGTAGAGTCATTCAGACTGTTTGTTTTTTTAATTTTTCAGAGTTACTTATGTCTTATTTTCATCTAATCTGGTAAGAGGTAAATCAACATCTTATTGTTATATAATTTAGATGTAAATTTCATAATGATGATGAATAAATATGTGAAATTGTATAGAATTATCTATAAATTCAACATTATATTTTTTAATAGATAAAATAGACAATTTAAACAAATTCATACATTTATCGGTTTACACAAAACAAACAGTATTATTGATTCAAAGTTCAGACTTCAACACCTCTTAAAAAATAAATGTCATCTTGGTCTATGAAAAAGAAAAATATTCCAGACAGATGCGTCAGGTTTATTTAAATAATTAAGAGCAAATTGCATGAAAAAGTAACGTACTTTAACTTGATTCCTATTTTGGGTAACGTACTTTCAAAATTTTCATTTTGGTACCTATGTTGTAAAGTTTTAAACATTTAAGTACTCGGGTAGCCAGTTGAAACATTAACTCTTTCTTCTAATAAACCACAACACATAAAAACTAATTTTAGATTAAGATATCCATGCCAGCCAAAAATACTGAGTTGGATACCACATCACTCGTCGCATCAACCGGTTACCCGGGTACTTAAATGTTTAAAACTTTACATTTTAGATACCAAAATGAAAGTTTTGAAAGTACGTCACCCAAAATAAGAATCAAGTTAAAGTATGCTATTTCTTCATGCAATTTGCCCTATAATTAATACCTTATCTAATTTTTTTAAAATAAAAAAAATAAGATAAGGTAAATGCTAACCAGGTAAGAGTCGTCACCCATACTTATCGGTTAATACTTCTCTCCTTGTCAATTGCCATTGCTATTACAGGTAAGATTCTATATTGTTGCCATGTGCATTCTCTAAAGCAAATGACCCTGTAAACACTTATCAAATAAGGATTTAATAAATGGCCTCTTAATTTATTATATCTTTACTATATTATAAAATATTTGACAAAAACTTTTAAATACCATTTTTTATGTATAAGTACTGTTTATTTATGCTTATTACTTAAAATTCAAGATTACAAGTAAATTGTGTTTAAGTACAACTTATTAAAGTTTCATGTTTGAATTTATGTAACTAACTGCAGATATACATAATCTAGAGAATAAACATCTCATTTTAGATATAAAAATCTAAAATATAATTAGGATAATCATTGAATTCTAATAAAATACTTAATTATTATGTTTATAAAAAATGAATTAAAAAAATACAAAAAAAATAATTTAAGTAGTTAGTTTGGTACTAATATCAATATTTTTTTTCAAATTCTTTATGATATATTCATATTTATATTTTATCCAAAAATGAAAACATTATCGCTTTCTCATAACCACATAAAATCGTATTATAACATCGACTGAGACCAAAGAAAAAACAAAACATTAATATCGAAATGTATCTCACTACATTATACAAGTACCCTTCTAATTAGACTGTTAAACAAAAAGATTAGGTTAAAATCGACTCGAACATACAAATAATCAATTCTAGTTTCTTTCTTCTACATGACAGAGAACCATGTATCATGTTTGACATGACTTTTATGTGAAACAGAAAGAAACATAGTGGTACATACCTGTTCCACCCCTACCCCATGGAATAAGGTGGAACAAATTTATATTTTATCAATATAACCTCAAAATAAAACTTAATTCTCTTATAAGACATCAAATAGGTCTTCTTTTTACATTTTATTCATTCTTTAAATTTTATTTATTGTATTTTATGTTTCTTAAACTTTCATTTTACTGTCTTCAAAATATTATTTTTATACGGTTTCTATATTTTTATTAATTTATTAAATATTAGTAATAAAAAGTAATATTGAAAAGAGATAAAAATAAAAATTGGAAACTACATAAACTTTTTATTTGGTGTCATTTTAATTGTTTTGACGAAAACTTTCAAATTATATATTTTGTTATAAAAATTAATTATTCTATTATATTTAATAAATTACATAAATTAATTAAAATACACAACTCATTAAGAGTAAATTAGTCATTTTACTTGTTCTGTTTTGTCCAACTTTACCATACCAAATATTGAACAATTGTTATATTTTGTCCTATCCTGTCTTGATAACAAATACACCCTAAGAGAACACCATCCCTATCATACCCTCGTTCTCTTAGTGCCTCCATTATTAATGGAGGGACACACCATTATGAATGAGTCAACTCACTACCTTCTTTAAAAGTTCATTAAAATCTGAATAAGACGGTCAATTATATTCTATGATTAAAAAACCCCGAAGTTGTTGAATATTTAACCGTCACTTGTTTTTTTTATTCAAAGTTTTTTATTAACCTGGATATCCAACCCGTTATGTGAGCCAACTAATCCCAGGACGACCACCTGCTTTGGAGATAGCCCGGAGTCACCGCATTTGGACCTCCGTGGCCATAAGAGATTTTTATTCCTCATTCGATTTGAACCTGGGACCTCCTGGTACTTTTGAACTTTGGAGTCAATATCAAACCAATCAGGCACCACCCTTGTTTCGAATTTGCTAACCATAGAACATGTTTCACATGTGCTATGCATCATGTCAAGCTCGGTTTCTTAAACAATTTGTGATCATATTTTTCTCCCTGGAATTTCAATCTGTTTGACAGGTTTCATTTGTCATGTCGTGCCTAGTTTAGCAATTTAAGAATTTACTATGCGGCATGTGTCGTCTTATTGATGTATAAACAGATTCCTTCACACAAAACTGTCTTATCTTCTTGTTATCATGCGACTGAAAAACAATACCAAATATGTCTAAAATAACAGTATCGGCGTCCGTCCACGCTACAAATGGTTGCTGGATTATGTTTCTTTTATTTCGATGACTCAATCTTTTTTTGTCTGTAAAGTTCTTGTCGGTCTTTTCAAACCTTTAAAAATTGTGTCGATTTTATCTATATCTAATAGGGAAAAGTTCAAAAAAAACCCAACGAATTATCTGGTTTTGAATGATTATGTCATTGAACTATTTTCTGAATGAAAAAATCATTAAATCTTTTTATTTTGAATGGTTAAGTCCTTAAACTATTTTTTTGAATGAAAAAACCATTAATTTTTTTTTTGATTGATTAAGTCACTGAATATTTTTTAATAAATAAACCATTTATCTTTTAAAAATTGGTTACTTGCATTCTTTTAACCCAAAAAAGTTATATTAACCGACTAATAAAAGTTCGATGGTTTATTTATTTTTTTAAAAAAATCTTAGAAACTTAATCATTCAAAATGTGAAAATTTAATGGTTTTTTCATTAAAAGTATAGTTCAGGAACTTAACTATTCAAATTGAGAAAGGTTAATGATTTTTTCATTAAAAAAATAATTCAAGGACTTAGGGGCCGTTTACCAAATATTTACCCGGTAAGTGCTTACCAATAAAATTTAACACTATTATTTACTTACTAGATAAGATTTTAGTCCACCAAAACAACATCAGATGCAACAATTTACCTGATAAGTGCTTACTATGGTAAGAGTCGTCGCCCTCACTTACCGGGTAAGACTCTTGGTCATTGTCTCGCTCTTTCCAGGTCAGATTCTTGGTCCTTATCATATTCATCCGATGAGGTAACGTGACTTGGTAAGTGCTTACCCGAGTAAACATTTGGTAAACGGCTCCTTAACCATTCAAAATGAAATTTTTTAATGATTTTTCATGATTTTTTCATTCAAAAAATAGTTAAAAACTATACCATTCAAAATGAAAAAAAAAACAATTCAGGGACTTAACCATTCAAAATGAAAAAAATTCAATGATTGTTTCATTCAAAAACTAGTTAAAAACTAAACCATTCAAAATGAAATATAATTGTTTGGTATTTGTTTACAATGAAATTAGGACGCTTAATCATTTAGGAAAACCTATGATACAAAATCGTTTAGAGATTTTTGAAACCATTCAGACTCTTTTTTTTGCCAAACAAGATTCACCTTTTAACGATTCAGATGTTGTCTCTTAAGAGGTAAACAAACAACCCCTAAGAGAAAGGTGTGTGAATTTATTTGTTGTATTTATCGTATATAAAATATTATATATTTTATAAAAAATATTAAAACAAACTTTTAATACATTTTTGCAATAAGATTAGTTTCTTGATAACTTCTTAATTTCATCGGCAAGTTTATCTATCTCCAGAGAAGATGAACCGCCGGAGCCTGCGGCGGTTTCCGCCATTTTCTTCCACTCCATAGCTTTCTTCCTCATCCTATCACCCTCTTCTCCCGCCATTAACATCCTCACATGCGTCTTCACTTCATCTCTCTTCACGTTTCTTTCAATCTCCATCCCCACCTCCCATTCCTTACACATTTGCCTGCAATTCGTTGGCTGATCACCGGAAACCGGCCAACAAACCATCGGAACCCCAGCCGACAAGCTCTCGATGATCGAACCCCACCCACCGTGAGTCAAGAACCCACCAACCGACCGGTGGTTCAGCACCTCTTCCTGTGAACACCAGCTTGCTACAAACCCTTTTCTTTTGATCGCCACCTCGAGTTCTTGTGGCAAAACTGCAGGTTTCCCATCAACCAAATCGGTCCTGATGATCCAAAGAAACTCATGGCCGCTGTTAACAAGTCCCCAACCGAATTCAAGAAGATCTTGTAAACACATTACTGCTATACTTCCAAAGTTGACGTAAACCACTGAGTTGGGTTCTTTCGAGTCGAGCCACTGCACGCATTCGGGTTCTTCCTCCCATAAACTGTAACCGTTGTAGCTCGATTTCTTGGTTTCTTTTTCGGTCATCTGGTTCAGAAGTAGTTGCAGTGGGCCGATGGTGTAGAGATTAGGAAACGTAGATTTGAGTTCTTTGATGAGATTGAATTCTAGTTGCTCGAAAGAATGGATGATCATATGCGAAGCCTTATCGGCCACCTGAGCGGTTTCAAGGAGGAACTTGAATCCAGGATCGTTCGGCTTTGTGGATCGCGTAAACTCGGGTAGATCCTTCAAACGGATTCCTTCCATTCCGGGAATCCAATTTATTTCCATCTCAAGATAGTCGTTCGTCAAATAACTTTCATCTACAAAAAAAATTGCAGGATTGGTTAATTTTCTTTTTTATTAACCTGGATATCCAATCCGCTATGCGAGCCGACTAATTCCAGGACGATCACCTGCTTTGCAGATAGCCCGGAGTCACCGCATTTGAACCTCCATGGCCACAAGAGGATTTTTATTCCTCCTTGGATTTGAACCTAGGACCTCCTGGTACTTTTGACCTTTGGAGCCAAGCTCATACCAATTAGAAACCACCCTTGTGGTAGGGTGGTAGGATTGGTTAATTTAAACATGGTGATTGTGAAGTTTACTCAGTAGCCTAATGATTAGTCGGTGCGCTTAAGCTGACCCTGAACAGTTAGCCAATAAATAGTTGTGGAAATTAAGCTAACCTTTAAGAGGGACAAGCCCTTTCTCCATTAGAATTTTAAGCTGGTAAAACCCCATGAATCCACAGGCAGCCAAGGTCCAGAAAATGATGATGGGGACTCTAAGCTTCTCAGCCGCGTAAAGCATATTCGTGTAAGTCATGAAACCATCGGAAACGATACAAGTGACCGGGGTTTCGAGTCCGGCCACGAGATCAAGAAAGGAATCAAAGAAATTGGTTGCGAGATAGGACCAGAGTTCGGCTATAGTTTGAGTGTGTGGATCAACTTCATGGTCGGAATTCGAATCAGGGAGACCATCGGGAACCGTTTTGAATTGAAAACCCGGAGCCGCATCGAGCCAGTGGAACGTCCCACCGGACTTCAGGAGTCGTTTGTGGTTAGATTGGGTGTTGATAAAAGTTATATTTAGACCCTTTTGGTGCAGAAGTCTTGCAAGTTTCAGCATACACTTGATGTGGCTTTGTGCTGGATATGGTATGAACACCACATGAGGCTTCTTTTGATTGATAATGGCTCCTGAGTCCATCTCTGTGTGTGTGTTACTATGTGTTTTTGGATATTGAATTTATAGGCTCAAATAGTAGTAATTAATTGGTGTGTCATTCAACATCTAATTTGTTTGGACTTGTTTGTAATGTAGGGCGGGTACCTATATATCTTTTTAAGGGGGAAAAAAAATTAACCTTTTCTATTTGTATAATCAATGCAATCCAATTAACTGAGATATTTATAGAAATGATAAAAATTCATTTATTATGATTTGAATATTTATGAAAGATGACTAGAGTTCATTAATTGTAATCAATACTTTATATTATGAAACAATTAAAACTTTAATGAGATCACATATTCATCAAATTAAATGAACGATTGAGATTGAGTTGTATTGGTTGTATAAATACAAAGGGTTGCATCATAACTAACCCCCCCCTCTCTCTCTCTCTCTCTATATATATATATATATATATATATATGAATCTAATCAAATAAGAACTAATTAGTTTGTTGTAACCGTGAGATCCAATATTAACCATAAATCAATAGATAAATTAGAAAATTTATAATTTTGAATTTAAAATTTTAATGCAAAAACATTTTAGGTATTTTAAAACTCTCCTTTCTTAATTCTCCGTCCTCCGTCCTCAATGATATCACAATGCATCTTATATGTGCTTGAGAATCACATTGAGGTCGTTTGTGTAGTCGATCGGAGATGTAACACGGTGATATCACAATACATAATTAAATTGAGGACTAGAAATCTAACCTTCAAGTGGGACAATCCTCTATCTATTAGAACTTTCGCCTGATAAAACCCCATGGATCCACAGGCAGCAAGTGTCCGGAAAAGGATGATCGGAACTCCAAGCTTCTCAGCTGCAAAACGGTTTCTTTGTGAAAGTCAGGAAACCCCATCGGAGATGATACAGGTCACCGGAGTTTCAAGTCCGGCAACAAGTTGAAGAAAGGAAGCCAAGAAATTGGTTGCCAGATATCTGGTGAGCTGACGTATGGTTTGAGTTGGTTCACGATCATCATCTCCACCGGAAGTAGAAGGGAGACCAGGGAACTGATCGGAATTGAAAACCAGGAGTACCGTGAAGATGGTGAGAGGCGGCGGAGGTAAGGAGGCGCGTGTGGTTGGAGTGGGTGTTGACGAAGGTTATTGGAAGGCCGTTGTGGTGGAGGAGGGTGGCGAGTTTCAGCATACACTTGATATGGCTTTGTGCTGGAAATGGTATGAATGCCACATGAGCCTTCTTCTCCTCCATCTCTTATATGTTTTTCACTCTTTTTTTTATTAACCTGGATATCCAACCCGCTATACGAGCCGACTAATCTCAAGACGATCACCGGTTTTACAGACCATCATCAATCTGAACCACTGTGGATCCCGTTTAAACCACTGTGGACTACCACTGATCTGAACCACTGTCGACCACCGTCGATTTAATAACGTCGTTTGACTTATGATTATATTTGGGTTGTGTATTTTATATTGTTTTACATATAAGACATTTTGGTCATTTACTAATATTTTATTTCAATTCTAAAGCTACATTCCGTGAACCAAACAGACATATTCCAATTCCTTAACATATTTCATTCCAGTGTCTGCTAACCAAACAAGTGGTCAAACCTGACAATATTTCATTCAAATTCATTCAAAATCAAATTTTCTTTAACAGATTTCATTTCATCCAAAAATATTCTGCTTACCAAACGTCACCTTATGTTATTATTGTAATTTTAAATAAATTACAATTACACCCCATAAAATAATATAATGATACCTTTCATGATCCTATAAATTTTTATACTACCTAGAAAGAAAAAACGGTAGCTCATGTCAACCTATGCATCATAGGTAGGGGAGGCAATGAGTCAGGTCGGGTTGGGTTCGGGTTCAACCCATTTATTAAACTAGTTGAAAATATCAACCCAAATCAACCCATATTAATTAAATGTGTTGAGATTTTTCAACCCAACCCAACCTGTTGACCTGTTTACGATTTTCTTAAATCAACCTGTTAAATAAATAGGTTGAACCTAAGTTGACTTATTTAATTTTAAAATTTTAAATAAAAAAAGGGCTACACTATTCATTTATTTTGAATAAAACACAACACAATCACAAATACAAACAAATTGTTCAAAGTGTGAATAAAACAAAACCACAACAAATATATTGTTCAAAATAAATAGAAAAATGGAGTAATGGACTAAAGGATTTTCTTAGGGTTTCTTGATGATTAAGAATAATTGAGACAATTGAAATTTGGACTTTCATCTCACGACAATAGGATTCTTAATTAAAAATAAAACAAAATAATATAATTTTTTTTTAATATTTTAAATGAATTGAAAACATGTTCAAAACGGGTCAAAAAATTCAACACATTTATTTAAATGAGCTAGATATGTTGATTCATTTATTTAAATGAATTGAAAATCTCAACCCAACTTACTAATTCTAGGTTGAATTAAATTGGATTAGCGGTTTGGATATTTTTTTCCACACCTACTACCTTTATGGAATAGATGGATCCATGATAATTATGAACATACATTAATTCACGACACCCACACCACACAATTATATATATATATATATATATATATATTAACCTGGATATTCAACTCGTTACGTGAGCCGACTAATCCTAAGATGACCACTTGTTTTGTAGATAGTCTGGAGTCATCGTATTTGAACCTCTGTGGCCACAAGAGAATTTTTATTTTTCCTTGAATTTGAATCTGGGACCTCCTGGTACTTTTGATCTTTAGAGCCAAACTCAAACCAATCAGACACCATCCTTGTGGTTAATATCTTTTTAAGTTTTTTTTTTGTTAATTAATTTCGAGTGATTCAATGGCAAGGGAAGGTAGAGAAGCCGGATCCAAACAAATCTCTGCAGCCGTTTGGTTTGATTTCAATGAATTTTTTTGGTTTTCTTTTTTGTTGAGTTCAAGAGATTTTTTTGTTTTTCTTTGGTTCATTTTGAGATATTTTTGTTGGTTCTTTTTGTTGATATTTATTGTATTTTCTAATATCTTGGAGCACTGCTTAAAGTTTAGTGGATGCACTTTTTATAAAAAAAAAAATTATTTATAAAATTCGGATGAGCATGTGCATGAGATCCCACTCGAACTAATTCCCTTGTGGTCATGGAGGTTCAAATGCGGTGACTCTGGGCTATCTGCAAAGCAGGTGGTCGTCCTGAGATTAGTCGGCTCGCATAACGGGTTGGATATCCAGATTAATCCCAAAAAAATGATCTCTTTTTTTTTGTTGAGTTCAAGAGATTTTTTGGTTTTTTGGTTCATTTTCGAGATATTTTTGTCGGTTTTTTTGTTGATACTCATTGTATTTTCTAATATCTTGAAGCAATGCTTAAAGTTTAGTGGATGCACATTTTATACCAAAAAAAATTTATTTATATAATTCAGTTGAGCGGATGCATAGAATCTGGGTCGAAGTCGGACGTTTTCTAATGGTATGTTTTTCACGATAAATGTGGTGTTTTATTGGTTTGAGCTTGAGCTTCAAAGGTCAAAAGTGTCTGGAGGTCTCGGGTTCAAATCCAAGGAGAAATAAAAATCTCCTTGTGGTCACGAAGGTTAAAATGTTGTGATTCCGAGCTACTCACAAAGCATGTGATCGCCCTGAAATTAATTGACATTAGTATTTGTTTTTCCTTGTATTCATCTAGAATTGAAGATAAATAGCATGCCTTTTCTTCTCTAGTTCTTCAACGTATGTTTACCCAAATGCTTATCCAGTAGGTGATTATCTATAGGAGTCAACACTATAATTTACTTTGATACGTAAGATTTTAGTATATCAAAACATAGCGAATGCAACAACTTATCGAGTAAGCGCTTACCTGGGTAAGAGTCGTCATTTTCATTTATATACCGGATAACACTCTCCATCATTCTTATCGCTCTTATCCGGTAAGATTCTTTTATCATAAGAGGTTGTGGTTATAGTCGGTGTTGACGAAGGTTATTTGAAGGCCGTTGTGGTGGAGGAGGGTGGCGAGTTTCAGCATGCACTTGATATGGCTTTGTGCTGGAAATGGTATGAACACCACATGAGGCTTCTTGTTGTTATCAGTTATGGAGGTTGAATCCATCTCTGTGTGTTTTTAGTGTGTGTTTCGGTGTCTAGATTAAGCTCTTATATAAACATGATATCTGTGTTGACCAAGCCAAACTAGACTTAATTAATATACCGCTGCTTATTAATTTTTCTAGAACGACAACAAAGATTGAGTCTCTTAGACGCCGTTTACTAAACGCTTATCCGGTAGGTGTTTACTTGGCAATTTTCCTCACTTAACGAACATAACAAGACACAAGAATCTTACCTGGTAAGAGCGATGATAATGATAGAGAGTCTTACCCGGTAAGTTAAGGTGACAACTCTTACCCGGATAAAAGCTTACTATATGTATTGTTGCACACAATACCATTTTGATATATTACAATCTTACCTAGAAAATAAATTATGGTGTTAGACTTTTAACAGTAAACGCTTACCAGGTAAGTATTTAGGTAAACAAAAATTCTAAATTAAATTAAATGAATAAAAATTTATTTTCATTTTCATTTCCTGTCTAAATCAAAATACAATTTAATTTGCTAGCTTCTTGCTACCCTTTGTTAAAAATTATTGTTGCCGTTTCAAAAAAAAAAAAAAAAGAGAAATTAAAAAATTATTACCGAAAATTGGGTTTTTACAGTGATTTGACATTTAATTAAGTAATTGTTGATTTAGATGGTAATTTCGGAATAACTGCTAAAATCGTTATGATATGTTAAGAAATTAAGGTATCGATGCTGGTTTTTTAAACCCAAAACGATTGCATCAGAAATATCAATAAGATTTTCGAACCAAAGACCATTTGTTTCAAAAGCATCGATAAGATTCTTGAACTGAAAACCGTTTGTATCAAGAACATCGATAAGATTCTTGAACCGAAAACCGTTTGTATCAAAAACATTGATAGGAACATATCA